CGGTCTCGGATCGAGTTCGACCTTCGAGATGAACGTCGCGTATTTCCGACCTCGAAGCAGTGCCTTGCGGATCGATTCGGTCACGGGCTCGATAGGATTATCGAGCCGCCTCCTCGAGTGACCTTCGGGCTCGAGGTTCGTTAGTACCGACCTCAGAGCTCACTTCCAAAACCTCATTTCGGCTTTTTAACACTCGAACTTGATCGAACGTAGGAAGGCCGGAATCTATTTCGACCGTATACAGATAGTCCCCTCGTTTCTCAGAAAAGGATGTGGCGAGAAACGATATGATTTTCCAGCAGCTCGATCAGATATACACTGATGTTTTTATCGATCCAGACCATGACGTATGTAATGCTCGATCATCTTATGCGTCTTTACAGTCCCCGACTTTATCGAGGATACCCGAATTTTTCCTTCCCCTGTGGGAATTATTAGTTACCTTCGGTCCTTGGTGACCGGAGAAGATCAATCAGTGATGAATGCGACGGGGCCCGCCTGTCTTTTCAACGAGACCCAACATGCTTTGAATCGGGTAACTTCTGATGGCGTTTTCGCCGCCTCTATACAAAAAAATTGTAAATACAAATCCTTCTTCTTTTTGGAGAGAAATGGCCTTTCAAACTAAATAGATAGTTTGAATTTAAATCTCTGTTGCCTTCGGGCCTCGTGGGTAGTCCCCTTTGCTTTATCGGGCTCCAGCGTCCTTCAACTTAAATGGTCAAGTGTTTGTTCTAACTCGAAGAAATGAGTAGTTTTGCTCGAAATAATGTAGCCCGTAGGCGTAATAGTCGAGCGAGTGATTGCTCGAACTCGAAATAAAGGTAGCCCGTAGGCTTAATGGTCGAGTGAGTGATTGCTCGAACTCGAAATAAAGGTAGCCCGTAGGCTTTGGCAGTCGAGCGAATGATTCAAACTCGATGCAATGTAGTCCATAGGCGTAATAGTCAAAGTAGCCCGTAGGCTTAATGGTCGAGTGAGTGATTGCTCGAACTCGAAATAAAGGTAGCACGTAGGCTTTGGCAGTCGAGCGAATGATTCGAACTCGATGCAATGTAGCCCGTACGCGTAATAGTCAAAGTAGCCCGTAGGTTTGGTAGTCGAGTGAATGATTCGAACTCGATGTGATGTAGCCCGTAGGCGTAATAGTCAAAGTAGCCCGTAGGCTTAATGGTCGAGTGAGTGATTGCTCGAACTCGAAATAAAGATAGCATGTAGGCTTAATGGTCGAGTGAGTGATTGCTCGAACTCGAAATAAAGATAGCATGTAGGCTTAATGGTGGAGGGAGTGATTGCTCGAACTCGAAATAAAGGTAGCCCGTAGGCTTTGGCAACCGAGCGAATGATTCAAACTCGATGCAATGTAGTCCGTAGGCGTAATAGTCAAAGTAGCCCGTAGGCTTGGTAGTCGAGTGAATGATTCGAACTCGATGTGATGTAGCCCGTAGGCTTGGCGGTCGAGCGAATGATTTGAACTCGATCCTATTTGCATAATAAATCTTGAACATAGGATATCGGTAAAGAATAGAGCTTTCTTTGCAAGTCATTATACATGGGTTCATGTTTTGCGTCAAGGCTCGAGCCAACTGTATAAGCATGGTTCGTTTTGACCATTTGGCCTTTACGACGTTTCCCGTTGAGACACTGTTTGTTATGAAATAACGAAGTAACTTCCTTCACACCGAACTTGATAATTAGCACAGCTGCGTACAATGATAAAGCCCCCATGTGTACGAGGTTGATTTTAAAGAGGCCTCGGATACTCAGCAGTAGTATCGTTTCCGCTATATGGCTGGTATCGATCTCTGGTCGACTTTTGTTTTTTCGTAATGGACCTAGAAGTCAACTGGTCATCTTCGACTCTTATTTTGGATTGATATCGATTGTGCACATCGGTCTAAGTAATAGCTGGGTACTCAATCAGATTTTGCTTCAGCCGCCGTGAAGCCCTCGAGCTTCGCTCATTTAGACCTTGAGTGAAAGCTTGAACAACCCAATCGTCTGTGACTGGTGGCAGATCCATTCGTTCCGTTTGAAAACGAGCTACGAACTCCCTTAGCATCTCGTTATCCCTTTGTATTACCTTGAACAGGTCCGACTTTCTAGTTTCGACCTTTATGGCTCCGGCATGTGCTTTTACAAAACAGTCTGCAAGCATAGCAAAAGAATCAATGGAGTTAGATGGTAAATTATGATACCATATCATTGCCCCCTTTGACAAGGTTTCACCGAATTTTTTCAATAATACAGATTCGATCTCATCATCTTCCAAATCATTGCCCTTGATGGCACACGTGTAAGAAGTGACGTGCTCGTTGGGGTCGGTCGTTCCGTTCTATTTGGGTATTTCGGGCATACAAAATTTTTTGGGGATTGGTTTTGGGGCTACACTCGAGGGAAAAGGCTTTTGAATGAATTTTTTCGTTTCTAGACCTTTTATCATTGGTGGAGCTCCCGAGATTTGGTCGACCCTGAAATTATATGTCTCTATTTTTTTATCGTTGGCTTCGACTCGTTTTGTGAGTTCCTCGAGCAATTTAGTAATTTCGGGAGTAGTCTCCGAATCTTGCTCATTTGACTTCTCTATGGCTGGTTCCGTTCTGTGGGTTACTTCTCGAAGCGGATTGGGCTCCGGTCTGCTTTGTACCTGAGTTTGGCTCTGCAACTGAGCTATCGCTATTTGCTGGGCTTGTAACATCTCGAAGATCATCCGTAAGCTGACTCCGATCTCCTCCACGTTATGGGTGTCTCGAGCTACGGATCGAGTACCGCCCTGAATGCTTCTTTCCGGTTCGGAACGCTGATTCACCCCTAGAGCTATTTGTGAATTAACATCCAATGGTACTTCGACTCGAATTTCGGGTGCTTCGATTCGAGCCTCAGTGCCATCATCGAGTGGCCTTCCCGGCCCCGGGTGCTAAGTTGTTGGTTTCATCTTGAAGGCCGATTTCGTGGTCGATAAGTGAAGCCGTTGCTGATTTGAAGTTGCAAACTGGCGTGTACTTTATATTTATATCAAACGATCACTGTTACCATTGGCCCCACGGTGGGCGCCAAACTATTTACCGAAAAAATCGGATAACGTTAGATTTGTGTATGGTTCTAAGGATATACGATACAATTCGATATAAATCGCGTAGAGAAATAGAAATATGTGTATTGTTGGCTGTGAGAATGAAAATAATAAGCAAAAAAGAATGAATAAGTAAAGCAAATATAAGGGGATAACTATCAATATAAGAAGTGATCTTCCTTTCTCCTCTTTTTCCCCTCCTGTGTCCCTGGCTTACAAGGATCCCCTTTTATAGAAGAGGGTTATTATAAAAAATAATAAAACATATAGTGGAGGGCCCGTGATGACTTGTTTCTTCTTCAATTCCCGCCAAAATTCTCTCTCTTGGTGCGGTTGCAACGGCTCTTGTCTGTGAGCTCGATACTAGCTCGAACTCGTTACTGGGTCGGGCCCTTCGGTCTCGGATCGAGTTCGACCTTCGAGATGGACGTCGCGTATTTCCGACCTCGAAGTAGTGCCTTGCGGATCGATTCGGTCACGGGCTCGATAGGATTATCGAGCCGCCTCCTCGAGTGACCTTCGAGCTCGAGGTTCATTAGTACCGACCTCAGAGCTCACCCCAAAACCTCATTCCAACTTTTTAACACTCGAACTCGATCGAACGTAGAAAGGCCGAAATCTATTTCGATCGCATACATTTTAAAACTTTTTTGGTATATGAGACGTTTCCTCCTATAAATGTTTTTCGCTCTTACGAATACCATCCCTGGCTGCCTTTTTTTTCTTCTCACTTTTATAATGATACGAACATTCGTATCTGATACGAACATTCGTATCCCGTCATCCTTAACAAAAATAATTGGTTTAGTTAAATAACTCCAATGCTTTTAGTGGTTTATTAGTTAAATAAGTCTCAAATACATTATTTTGCATAGTGCCCGGCCCCATTGAAACAAATTGTGACAGCAAAGTGCTAAACTTATCTGTAGTGTTTAAGTTTAGTTTTTTTTTCTTTTTATTATTTTGTTTCTTTTTCACCTAGGGCCTGTTTGTTCATTAAAAAAAATCACATTTTTTCGATTTTTTTTTACTTTTTTCGAAACAATGTTTGTCCATGAAATTTTTAATTTTCTTGAAGATGAATTTCAGAATTTTTCGAAAATTTAAAAAATTTTAAAAAACTATTTTTCAAAATTTTCACTTCAGATCACTCACAAAACTTCAAAACAACCCAAAATTATATTCATGTCCAAACACAACTCTAATTTTCAAATACCATTTTTATTTGAATTTTCTTTTACTTTTTTCCGGAATTCTGTATAATTCTTATGTCCAAACGCCCACCTAGTGGTTGCAAAGTTTATGTTTGCCTACAATTTTCCGTCTTTTTTGAAGTAGTGTTTAAATTTAAGTTCGCATCCAATCTCCCTTCTCTTTTTTTTTTCAAGATTTAACTTAAGTAGTCGTTCACCCCGTGTTAAAATTAAAAACAGACGATAAATATAAAATATATGTATACAACAACAACAACAACAATCCAGTAAAATTTTACTAATGGGATCCGGGGAGGGTAATGTATACGCAGACCTTACCCCTACCCCGAAGGAGTAGAGAAATTATTTCCGAAAGACCCTCGACTCAAAAAAAATAAAAAGACAAAAGGACAAAAATAAGACATAATTATAAAATATATGTATAATTATGTATAATTTATATATATTATTTTTTAAAAAAGTGAGAAATGTAAAATAATTGATTTCTTATTCAATTCCTATTATAAAAGAATACTCATTTAATTTTTAAATTGTATATAATTGATAAATTGTATATGCCTATATTGTAATTAAATTGAAATTTGAGTGGTGAAGGTAATAAAATTTGAAATAATCCTTTCTGCAGCTTTACGAAGGCCTTTGGGCCAAGCAGCCAAGCCCAGTACGTTCAGTAGCTACTGAAAAAGGGCATTTGGGTCATTTGGCCATTGTCTTTTAGCATTTACTCATTTCGAGGAGCTCACTCCCTCAGTCCGGTAGGCTCTGATATCAGGACGATACGATACGATGGCGGCACGTCAAGCAGCGAACTTATCTCGATTCTCCGCTTCCAAATCAGTTAGTACAACGAAGCAAGGCGCCTTACTTATCCAGCGGCGTGGTCTCGCCGGCGGTGGTGGTAATTTCACTAATTTTCCTTAAATTTTTGAAACTTCAGTCTGTTCTCAAATTTAATTATCTTCCTGTAAAATAAATCATAGCTACCCATTGGATTAGTTTGTAATGGCGTTATTCATGGACATGGAATTCTGGAAGTTGAAATAATTACGTATTCTTTTTTATGCAGATCATCATGGACCTCCGAAGGTGAACTTTTGGCAGGATCCGATGAGTCCATCAAAATGGAAAGAAGAGCACGTGAGTTTTTCTGACATTTGCGATGCCTTTTCTACTTGTTTAAACTGTTATGGCTATGCTTGTTTGTTGGCTTTGGCATTATCATATTGCTTGACTTATGAAACTTCTAAAATTTGTTGCGAGTTTCTTACCCCAAGTATTGCTTAACTTTTACCTAACGGAGTACTTTAGTAATTGTAGGAACTTTGAATGTAAGATGTCAGATAGAGAACTATTTTAATGGTCGCTTATGCATGGTTGGCAACAAGTTTAGGTGGGGATTGTAGTTTTCTTTATGTATTTGGGATCCAGAAGATTATATGGAGTATTCACTCACCTATGATTGTGAGAAATGATATTCTTTCTCTTTACTTACTGGGAATGATGTTTTGCCTCTTCTAAAGATATATTCTAGACCACTGCAAAATCTTATATTACATGGAGCTTTGCATGTATCCTTTCAATAGCAGTGCAGATTAGGTTGACAAAATCCATACCTTTTGACAGCTTTAGGTTCCAGTTGTGAGTCACTAATGTTTTGGAGCTGTATCTTCAATAGTTCACTGACTAGAAATCCTTTCAATTGTGTGCGATGACATCTTTGGATATAACAGGAGATCTTAATTGCTGTATTTGTGAATTTTTTTGAGAATGGTAATTTCTATATATATTAATAAGACCAAAAAACAACAGTAAAGCAGTGCCAAGCTATATTTTCAAAAAGAGCAGACCCCAGCTATGTTTCCCTTAGGTTACAGAGCAACCTATCAAATCTGCTAAAGATTCTGCCCCCTCCACAAAGTTTTTTTTACACCAGAAATGAAACAAAAGGAAACAATTCATTTTGGTATTCTGTGAGGAGTTGCTTCTGTCTTAAAAAAATTCTTGAATTTATCTCCTTCGAGACTGTCCACCATAATGCAAGTAGGAACCAATCTCCACCATTTCTTCTGTCTCACTATACCCGCATTATAATTCCAACACTTCAATAGATCACAAGTGTTTGCTGACATACTCCATTTAAGGCCCACAATATTAAGAAAACGTTGCCATAGTTGTTCAACGATAGGACAGTGAAGAACAAATGGCTATTGGTTTCTGTAGCTGTACCACAAAGTGAGCACTTAGAGCATAATTGAAAACCCCTTCTCAAGTTTTCTTGTGTTAAACATGCTTCTCTTGCCACTGACCATGAAAAAAGACCACCTCGAAAGGTGCCTTAACTGTCCAGATTTGCCTCCAGGGCCAATGTTCTATATGCTGGTCTGAATTAGAGACAACAAGATAAGCAGATTTAACAGTATAGGTCCCATCGCTGTTTCGGTTCCAATTCAGTGTATCTTCAAAATCACTGAATCTTTGAAAAACTTCCAAGACCTTGTAGAACTCCAAAGTTCTCTCAAGCTCCCAGTCACTGTATTTGTGCATATAACAGGAAAGGATTTGCTAAATTGCTATTTTTTTCGCATTTATGTAATTTGATTCTCTTTATATTGTTTTAATTTTAACTTGGAATTAGAACTTGTAGTCTCTCCATTAATCACAAGCACTAGTAGTTAGTGCACTTTATACACTTTGATGTTTGATTAGGACTTTTGGTCCTTGTAGTTTGTGATCGTCTCTCTTACTGGTTGGGGGTTGGCCTTCTACGGAGGTTATAAGCTCTTCACAAAGGGAAACAAAGAGAAGAAGGAAGAGGTACGCCCCTTTTCACGTTGAACAACTTCATTCAAATATGTTGTTATTGCTGGTAATGTTAAAGCATATATTTTAACTCTCTATTTCTACTTTACTTTACTTATGAAGAAAAAGGTATTAAGCAAGTTAACTGAACCTAGCAAACATTTCATCATGTGTACAGTGTATATGGACATTTCACCTTGAACAGACTGCTATTCTTAAACTGCTTGAATATCTGATCTGATTTGATTCATCTCATGACAGAAAGTTGGTGAAGGATCCCACTAACATTGGATGCGTCTAGGATCTCCTTGAATAAATCCGCTGCTTGGGCTATGTGGTCTTAAATTTTTGCCATGAGTTTTGCATGGTTTCCCCCCATTTCCTCCATTTCTCTTATTGGACTGAATTGCACATGAAATGCTGGACAATTAGCTATGTATTTTTTTTTTACTTGTAGACTGTCGGTCTATTTAGAAACTCTCTGCTTACTGCTTACTGAGACTCTGGTGTTTCTTTCTTTTGAAACAAATTTAGTTACGTATTCAGTTGCATAATGACTATGAGTATGTCGAGAGACGAGCAACAGGTTTTTTTTCATTCCATTTCTTTTGTCATTTTAACAAATTTGAATGTGTAGACCTGGTTTGATGGAGCTTAATGAACCAAGTACACCACGATGCGTGGTGGTCCTTTTTGGCATGATAGTAGCTCAACAGCTGGGAATAAAGAATCTTGGAGCTTCATAGATCCAGCAAAGCTCATTTGCTTCATCAAGCTGTTTCCTTTCATGCTTGTTAGACTTTGGGAGGTGTATTCATACAATTCTAGCTATATTGAAGGAGAAAACTGACAGAAAACTTAAAATGAGGCGCTGGTATTATGTGATATGTTGGTGGAAATATGGAACGCTTTTAGCTGTGGTTTATGCACAAGGTTAAGCTTTACAACGTTTAGAAATGTACAAGATTCGCTTTATTGCTTCTGCTGTCAGAGAGAAAAGGCAAAATCTGAAGTGGTAGCAACCTATGAATGTGGTTCCATCCAACTTTCATAACTCATTCCGTGCAAGCAAATGTACCTTGCTTAACTTGAGAAAATATATTGTACAGAAAAGTAGTAGTACTATTTTATGCACAAGGTTAAGCTTTACAACGTTGTAGTAGTACTATGCTACATACACTTCCTCATATGTATAGCATAAAGGTTTCGTAAGACCAGTATTCTTAATCCAATTCTTTCTATTTTTCACAGTACAAACGTTCTTGAGATATGGTTCTTCATGTTCTTGAGAAAATTACCAAGGTGATTTTTAAAAAAAAATAGTATCCGGATCAGCTTGCACACTCTAAGGTAATACTTTCAGCTCCTCTTTAATCTCTAAGCGGAGTGTACATATTTTGTGGAGACATTACATCATAATACAATCAACACCTTGCAACTTGGAGTCGAAGATTTAAAGAATGAAAACCGTCTAAGAAATTATTGTTCTATGATATACATTTGAGTTACATTAACAAGTGCCACTCGACACCTCACCTGATGAGAAGGAAGAACGTGTTCTTACAAAATACCAATCCATGGGGATGACGAATGCATGTTATTGTATGCTATGGTATACTATGGGGCAACTACAAGCAAGTATGGTGGTATCACCACTTTCACTAACATAATCAGCAGCATTCTATAATATGTTTACTATGTGTTTGCGACTGTAAGTCATGTTCATGGTAAGCTATGTTGAATGTCGTGTTCTTCGGAATTTCATGACAAATGATAGTGCTTACTGAACACTTCTCTTCTTCCCATCAGCTGCTGCATTCCCATAAATCCTAATGATGATTTCTGCGAAAGAAGAAAAGGAACCAGGCTCATACATGATATGACAAGACCCCAAAAGGACTGCTAAAAGATAAATTTCCTCCTAAGTTCAGAGGGTGCGTATGCTCATATCAATATTATAGCAAATTTTGTTGAACCAGCTCAGACAATACATAGCTAGCTAAAAGACTCTACATTGTTAACATCAATAAAAGGATCAATTCTGAAATGAAAAAGATGGACAGAAACAAGGTGTCATCCAGTAGATAAACATGGACAGATTATGACAATAAATGACTTCTTTTTAAGAAACACTGATTGTACACAGCGTCCAAACAGTTTTATTCTGGACACTGCTTCTACACTGGCAGTATATATGGAAAAACAACAAAACAATTGTGCATGGAATTTTCTTTTCAAACAAATAAAGACTGGAGACACAGTTTTGTTCTCTAATGCGTATATATATATGTTTACAAGTTGCTATAGTTTTCGTCGAAGTGTGTTGTGGAGCACATGCATAGCCAAAATGAATCTGAGTGGTTTACCATATGCCAGTGTATCACTGGAGACCACTGCCTACTCCGCGTCCTTAACTTCTGCTTCAACATCAACAATTCCGATAGTGGAATCCTTACCTGTAAAGTAAATACAAGAGGTGAAGTAGTCCCTAATCCAGATACCGAGGGATCCCATGGATCTTGATTCAAACCCTGATGATCAAAAGTTGCGCAAGTTTTGGCAGTATTCCACAATCTAGCGGCTAAATCAATTATAAGGATAGCTTCAACCTTATCCAGGAAATATGTTTGGAAGATTCATCTCTGAAAAGCTTATGCTTAAAAAGTTCTCTGACAGAAACTTACAATGAGAAAAACATAAATATGGTTGGTTGAAATTTTAGGCTTTGTGAAGCCTTTTAGCTTTTACTGAATCCTTATGTCCCCACGCCCAACCCCTCAAAATATGTGTCCCACTAAGGAAGGGGGTGGATTTAGAAGGAATGTTCACTCAAAGATGGTTACTAACAGCTTAAGCCCCTCTTCTCTATAAATATATAAAATGTTTGAATATCATATTCAGAAGAATAAAAACTAGAGATTCCTTTTGTTTCAAGAGAAACTCAAAGTGAATAAGCATGAGAAATCTAGATCAAAAGAAGTTGACAGTCTAGCATAGTGATCTCAAAGCAATTAAGTTTGTATCTAATATGGAAGGAAAGATTAGCTGCTTCCCCATAATGTTTTCAACTGTTAAAACTTATTGTATTAGACAAAAAGGCTTTAATCTTAGGGAAATATTCGGATATCCACACTAATAGAGCACATAAGGATTCCAGAAAAGTTAAAAAAGAATGGGTTTTCTTTCTTGAAGGAATCCATCCTCATATTTATTTATGCTGACTAACTTTTAAAAAGAGAGAACTGCAAAAGTCGAGCTCATTTAAGTGAGAGGCAGCATTAACTCGTCAAATGAACGATATCCCAAAAAAACTTCACGAGACGAATAGACTGTTATTGCCCTATTATGTACCAAATTTAGCTAAATCGATTATACACTTTATAAAAACATCCTAACCAGTAAATGTTTTAAAAAAGAAGGGTAAGAAAGCTGCAAACCTTTCTTTGAACGAGCACTGAAATCACTGAATGCTTGACCAAATGTAGTTGACTGGTTGGAGAACTTTACTGGGTCTCTCACGAACTCATCACCAACAACTGCAGATATAAACTTATTTAGCCCAAAGATGATGTGTAGAATAACTCATCAATAAGAATGATGCATGGACTATCTTAAATAACAAGCTTCGCTTGCATCAGTTACCATGATATGATCCATATCAATGTTTGACCAAGAAATTTCACGATATTAATTATCGGTAGCAACATCTGATGGCACTGCTGTACCCAAGTGTACTTTTAATCACCATTAAAAATATCAAACATGTATATACTCCAAGGATTCAAAGGACATCGATGGAGAGAAGATAATTTTAAGGCAAAGAAGAGAAATACATGAAGTTCTCCTTATGAAATCTAGGGCTGGGAGATCAGTGCAGTAAGCCTAACTGCAATGCAAAAAAGCCCACATAGATGGTCTACGTCGCATATATGCATTTAGACAAAGGAATAAGATTATGAGGTGGAGAAAAGCGAGGTAAACAACGGTACATGCCACACATGAAACACGCTATTTCATACTTGAATTTCTTGATAAATCTTTTCCGTGGTTCATTCAGAAAATAATTAACTAATTGGATTTGATATTCCTTAGCTAATTGAGCTCAGGCTCAAAGTCCATTGACAAAGCAATGAACTGTATTCAATGCGTAGAAAAGCCGTGTTAGAGAACTGCTTCATCTGGTAATGGACAATGATACCAAGTTTGAACACAACAGTAAAGTTTGGTATAAAATTTCTCCCAAACTTGAATAAACTATCTATTAGACTTGGCTTGTCTTGTTTACCGCTCGTTACTCCCCATTCCACCAACTAAAATAATACCCAAATCTGCTTTCTAAGGTGCATATATGATGAGAAATAATACTGGTAATGCAAAAATCTTGCAAAGAGGCCCAACTCCACAAGATTTTGACGGCAAGAATGCTATCGGTCGATCAGCTATGAGAAAGTTGTCAAAAAAAAGGGAGACAAGCCAACTTAGAGTATCAACTTAACCTGAGAATGGTTGAGTACAGAAAGGGCAAAGTTGAACCTCATCATTTAAAGTAGACCTGCACTGGGTGAAAATCAATGCTATAAGTAACTAACAGAAATAATCACGCCGCCTGGATTCATATCTTGTTCTTAAACAAGGTTCCATTGCTCTTACCTGAAAATTTGAAAATCATTCCCACAGTTTGGGCACTGCAAAATAGGAGAAATTCATTAGCAAACACATAAGGAAACATGTGCCATAAGAAGTTTGATAGTTGTCCGATGGACCCAAAGAACACTTCATTTGATCTTCTTTAAATTTTTTTAAAAAAATCAAATTTCTCAACACACCTAAGGCTTGCATCTATAACGGAATAATCCATACTACTTGGTGAAAGCATCATGTGGACATTGTAAAAATATATTGTTTGTCGCAAAATAGTAGTTATTCTAGAAATTCTGTTTTTCATTTGAAACTTAAGCATTTCAGTTTTAGTATATAATGCTGGAGGTCCCATGATGCAGGACATGACACATTTTGAGATAGCTGAGAAGTGGTTAATAGATTTGTGGCGAGATAGAGCTATGATAGACATAGCGTTATTGGAATGAAATTTATGCATTTTAGTTGAAGTCTATAACAATAGAAGTCCTTGATGAAACGCAGTACATGACACATGTTGAGATAACCAAATCTATAGAGACTAAAGGAAGTGCGCATCAAGCTAACAGGCGAGAAAGTGATCTCATTGGGAACCATACATTAGAGGAGTCTGGTATTGGACCACTTTAATATACTAAAGTAATTCAAACTGCAATTCAACACTTCAAAATAATGGATGAGATGTACTATCCACATAAATTTATAATCAGTCAAACGATTCAACAGGCTGCTTAAATTTGACGCTTCACAGGCACAAGCAGACACTTATGCAATTTCGAAGCGGGAGTTAAAATAATAGGATAGATTTCGCAAAGCGAAGATATGCGAGTATGGTTCACTTACAGTGCCTTGAACTATATCTCGTCCAGCCCACCAAATAAAAGCTCCCAAACCTACAATTGGTAGTAGAACTGCAAGGAGCTGGAAGCCAGGAAATGGATGACTACTGTTAATTGACAATATAATCATTGTTAATACATGCAAAGCAGCAATACATAGATTGACTGCACTATGAAAGAAACTGTAATATACTAGTCCTTTAGGTTGAAGCACTTTGCAAACAGCGAGAACTTTNCAGTCATAGAAAGATAAGTCAACCCAATTGCTAGAACAAGATTAGTCACCACTCTTACAGTGTTACTATTATCCCTCCCACCACCACCACCACCACCACCACCATCACCAATTCCATCAAATCCAAGCCCTTGTTTGAAATTCACAACAATCATTCTCTTCTCACCACCCCATCTCTCCAAACTCCCATTTTTAGCCCTCTTAACTTTCAAGAACGAGGATTTCTCCTTAAAAGCTCTTAACTTGTTCCAAAATGATACATTTCTTGTACTTAAATGAGTGTAACAACAGATGGGTCGACGTAGTTTTAGCCCAATAAAGTTTGGTTTTCTGTACAAAGCATTGTGTGGTGTATTTAAGGCTAGGAAATTGATGGAAATTTGAGCAAGTGCTGTCATGGCAAAGTTCAATTCCTTTTTACAGAAAAAAGAGGAAGTGAAATGAATTGAAGAAGTAAGTTTATGTGAAGGGAAGTTGAGGCTTTTGTATATTTTACAATTCTAAAAATAGAAGGGATAATATAAAGACTCCATTTTTACAGAAAAATAAGAAGTTTGCAATTTGCAGAGCAGCTCGCCTTCTCTACAGGATTTTTCCAGTCATACGTGGCCTAGAACTCGCTCTTCTAAGAGGTGGGACCAGGTTTTATATTTTTCTTTTTAACAATTTAAGTTTATTCTAGTATAGAGGAATTAACAAAAGCAGAAAAGAATTATTTTCCTGGTGACAAGACATGCATAATTTTCCTGTGTTCTTTCCATTAAGACGCAATTCATTGCGTACTGGTAAATTTGTTCGCGTTTCGGGCGTGATTAAAAAATATTTATAAATTTGTTAAATGATATTATAAATTTATAGATGTAAAGAAAGAAGAAACATAAAAATACTAATGTTTCCTTCTTATCTATAAAAATCATGTGTAATCTAACCATCATATTCTTTTTTTCCCTACAATGATAGAATTCTATATCTTGTAAAATTTAATTATCACAATCACTCATATGTAATGATATGCTAACTCAAAATTAAAATCATATTCTATCTTTCGCAAATTTAATACCTTAAGCATATCAACATTATTTAGCTCATATTGGGGACCAAAAAAAGCAAAAGAAACCACAGATGCATAAGAAATTATAGAAATTACGTATGATTATAGTGATTAGGAGGTTTTACAAAGAATTCCAAAGTAAATACCTCATGGTAATTATGCATAGACAATCATTTTAAAAGTTTCTCACGATTTTGACCCATAAACAAAACAACATTGAAAATCTCACAAAAAGTTAAAGGACTTACTGAAAAAATTAAATGTACTCAATATCCCAACTCCCAAGTATAACATTCTTCATTGTAGATTATGGAAAGAATAATCTCAAGCATGATAAATAAATATGAGTATAACTATATAAGTTTCTATTTATAATATGGAAGCAAGAAAAATACCTGAAATACCTTTAAAGTAAATTTAAAAGACAATAAACACAATAATCCTAACCATAATTAACAAATACAAGTTTGTATGTATGACGCAGAAGCAACATAATATATTTTTGAAAGTATTATCAAACAATAATGCTCTATTGAAAAGAAAAACTTCTGACATTATAGTAAATTATAATAAAATAAATATTTTTTCAATAAAATAAATCAAATAAACTAATACCATCAGTAAAATAAAGGGAAGAATAGTTTTTTGGTATTTTTTCTTCAAAAAGATAATCTACAAAAGGAACATGCAAACTCCTAATAATAAAAATTGGAAACCTTAGAAAAGAATACTTCAAATGCACAACAAAAAAAGCCCGAATCTCTCCCTCGATCAAATTAAAGAGCTTACGATTTTAGAATAGACACAAAATCTATATGTAGTTGTTTCTGACTATTATCAAAGAAGTTCTAGAGTTATTTTGAGTATTTATATATAAGTAGCTTTTTAGCTTTTATTATATTTTTGTTCTTTATCATAAAACATCATACTTTGGTTCCAAAAAATCTCTCTTCTGACACTCTCCTCTCAATCTTGCAAATACAATCCATTTGTATGCAACCCAAATGATATTCCTACAAACACATTGAATATTTTACTCAAGTTTAACATAAACTCATTGCACATCAATATACTGAAATTCTCAACTCGAGATACTTCTACCCCTAGTTATACATCACATGAAAGAAAGAACTTAAAGAAAAATACTTGAAACCTCTACCTGTAAATTTTTTGCCATTCACATTTGTTTGCCCACCATATTGATGCGTGCAAATGATTCTTATGATTCTATACAGTACGACTATCATTAAAAGCTCAAGGAAATCATCAAAAATAAAAGACATCCATAATAATGATAATAGACATTCTAACTAACTAAATATCGCCAGCATGAATCATGATTCGATATAGAATTCAAAGAAAAAATATTAAATTAAAGATAAAATATATTAGATTAAAAGAGAGAGAAGGGAAATAAGTGGAGAACTTGCTCTTGTCATGTTTAACGGTGTGTGAAATTCAAAAGGGAGTGAAAGGAGGAATAAAAAACAGATTAAAAACCAAAAGGAATGAAAACAAAGAATATTGAACAAAAGTAGATTGGTCGTCTATGAAATTATAATGAGATTATCACTTTATGCTTTTGACATTCTAAATAGAGCTTCAATATATATAACTTATAAATCCAGCACTGTTATTAAACTTTAAGGCAAATAAATGCCTCTCAATTGCTGAAACGTAGTGGGAATGACATTCTAATTAATAGAGGCTTCAACTATTATTAAGACAAAAAAAAGACCATATCAATTGCTGAAAGTAGTGGGAATATGTAAAGTCTGTCGAAAACAAAAGGAGAATTTTGGACCAGATGAGACGAAAAATGTCAAAAAAAGGAGATAAAAGAAAAATAGGAATGCTAAGTCATAGAGAGGTGACACATCACCTCAAATATGCCCAGCTTTATATATTTATATAAATTTGTGTGTAATTTGTTTCTAAGGGTTAAGAGAAAAGGAAAAAGAGAGAAAATACACTACTATTTCTAAGTTTCATTTTATATGGTAACAACTTAAAATTTATGATCTTAAATATGTCATAATAATTTTTATAGTTATAAAAGCATATCCTTAATAAACTAAAAAATTGAAAATAAATATCAATATAAAATGTGTTATTCTTTATGAAATATACTAGAAAAAATATCTAAAAATGAAACCAAAAAAATAATAATATGCAACTCGATGGCTTTGCTTGACCTGCTATACTAAAAGTGTTGTAAACTCGTCGTATTTTAGGATTCTTGTAACCAATAGTATATCTTTTATTTTTTAATAACTGTTACTATCACTAATCATACATCAATTAGTATTTTTCTTGTTTGAAATCTTTATAATTTTTGTATTGCAGACTTTATTTGAAAAATAATCAGAGCTTGATAATCTTATAGAAATGAAAAAGAAATCATAGTTTCATAATGACAACTCTGCAATGATGTGTCTACTACTAGTTGCTTTGGGAAAGATGTGCTCAATTTAATTGATTGACAAACGAAACGTAAATTATGATAGTAATTACATTTATTTCATTATTTTCAATCTTATGATTTCCAGTGTATTGCAAATAATTGTATAATGCACACATATAGAGCATCGCAATAGTGAGAGATATTTACCTTTTTTGACTTGTTTATCACAAGAATTTATATTGCATGAGTAAAATTTAGAATATCAGATTTATATTGGTTATCTAGTCTTCTTGACAAGGATGTTCGATCATAAAGAAACCATCATGTCTAAGGTAAATGGAAAAAACATTATGTACTGCATCTCATAAGCTCAATCCCCGGCACTAGCTCGAAAGAATGAGTTAAAAAAGACTTTTGAAGTCTTGTGTAAATATTTGGGACACATTTGTTGGTTAATAAAAGGGTTATCAAAGAGGGCGGGGTCAAATTAAAAACAGAACAGGTTGTAGGTAAATATTAAAATTTAGTTCCCGCTCGAGGTTTCAAGAGTAAAAAACTTGCTGTAGACCAAAAAATATATCAAGGAAATGAGAGGGAAAGTAATAAAAAAGGAGCACAACAATTATATCTACGCTTCACCTGCTTGCTTTTGCTTTCTCCTTGTGAAAAGTGTACTACTATCTTTTTCCCCGCCTTATGGGTAAAGGAAAATGGATAATAAAACGTTATAATTATATTTTGGAAAAAAGAAAAGAAAAGAATTACCAGCTCATATGTTTCTCTGTTTTTATTTCAAATGAAGTAGCCATTGGCTCAGGATGGAAGGATTCAGTTCTAAGTAACTCTCACAATATATTCTAGTGGATCTGTTTAGTTCTAATAAGATCTTTTTTCATCTCTACATATCTTGAAATAGGTGCAAGGTACAACTACACTGCCTGTTGATTAAACTGTAGTTCTACTTACTCCATCAATTTCTGCATACTTCTAACTCCATTGAGGATACATTATTTAATAGAAGAATCTAGTATACATCAACAAGCAAGTCCAGGATAACATACAAGCAATAGGAAGAAGATACGATGTCTGAAGATGATTTTTACAACATTAATACATGTTGCATTATCACTCTTTCTTTTTATCTCCTGAACTTGTAACAGCTTCTTGGCGATATGGCGCAGCACTGTATGCATGACGCATAAAGATAGCAAAGAAAACCATCTCCACAATCACTAGTACATTCTGAATACCTTCCTGAATATGCTCCACGTCAAGCCAGAAATGTTGTGATCTGATTATGCCTAGTGATACAAGAATCTCAAGCAGAATACCCTGCAAAGTGGTAGGAAGTTTAATTTTTTCAAGACTAAGCATAAGGAAATTTAATGTAAAAGCTGACTCCATAAAGTAATTGCGTGCTAATGGTTTGATTTTTTTTTTTTTTTTTGAAACTTACTAATGGTTTACTTTTAATACCATTAGGATATTGAAAATATAGAACATGTCTAATCAATAATTCAGGGTCCCACAGGCATGAACAATATCCTTGTCAATAAGCAAGTAACAGCAAAACTGAACTCCAATATGTAATTTACAAGAAAGCAACAGATAAGGCTGTAAGAAAAGATGAGAGGAGTACCTGCCAGAAAACGAAAAAGACAATTCCTTTGACACACAGGAACTTGGCTAGTGGCTTGTGAGGTGCCAACTCTTTTGCAAAGACATGGTAGAAAATCACAAGAGAATACAAAGCCAGTGAAACGGATATGTTTAAGATCATAGTAAAGGTCCAGCTAACCCAACTAGGGTACACTCCAAGAAGTTGTAAAGCAATCATTAGGATGGAGCATACAGGGCGAATCACAACAAACTGCCATGTCCAGTTCTTGAGAAGCTTCAACGTATGATGGTTCAAATGAGCAGTGTGAGGCTGCAGTAATGAAACAGTTAGATTGTGACTGGGTACAAGGAACCATATACAGAGAGGCAGGCATGCTTTTGAAGGAAAAAAAGAAAAGAGAAGCAGCACACTTATATTCCCATCCTCTGAGTTTGTGAACGAAGTATACAGCAATATAATTTGGCCATGTAAAATTACTAAGCAACTAAATCTACCTATCTATAGGTGCAAAATAGTTGAAATAGTTAACTTTGTGCTTAACAGTGTACTCAACTAATACAGCATGCAGAATGGTATTTCATTATTTTTCAGTCCTAGCCAGCAATAATCCAAATTTACTCTTGACAAGAATGCAGTGTTAATGATATATAAGAGTGATACGTACACGGTACACATAATTCACTACACCAATATTACATATTTTACCTGGAAGAGTGTCATTGGGAATGAGTGGTGAATTTGTCTTCCCTTAATTTCATCAGGGACAATGTTTTTGCTTATGGATATGTTCAAGTAAGTGTACATCAATGCCAGGAACTTAGCCATCACCTGTATCACTTAGAATAGAAGTAAGCAAAGAATCTCTGGTTGTATGCAACTGATAAGAACACAGCTCAATGGGTAGGTTAGCTATATATCGACTTACAATTGCTTCATAACATTCTTTGACAGAATCCAAGAAAGTGAAAAAGGGTTTGCTTCCCATGAAATCAATCAACCCAATGAAGGAGTCAATAGCATACAAGGGTGCCATGAGGACGATGATGATTATGGCCTTTTGCTCTTTAGGCTTCTTCCATGACATAAAATGTTCTGTCACTAGCTGTATACTGAAATGCATAGTCAGCATGAGACATATAGTGGATCCTATCAGTGTGACTTTCCCACGATCTAATTCCATCTTCGTAGCTAGCCAATCAGTGGATCCTATCAGTGTGATTTGCCCAAGATCTAATTCCATCTTCGTACCTAGCCAAAGAGAATATCAAAATCAAGACCTGCACGGTGTTGTTAAGACTTATCAGGACTTAGACTGTTTGAGAATAAAAAGGGTAGCCTCTGTGACTTCTTATTTTTGGTTCACATAAAAAGGAGGTGCTTTGTATGAAATATGATTTGGAACATTATGACTTTTTCATGGGAATCCTCAAGTGAAAAAATCTTGAAATGCACACAGATGATTTCAGGTTTAACGTAAAATAGTGTAACAGAAATTGAGGTGGAAAAAGAGTTCTTAATACTCATGCAAACATACCAAACAAACTGAATATGCAAACATACCAATCAAACTGAATATGCAGACTCCTATAGTCCTATTGTGGTCTATAAAGGTTTTCCTCATTATCTACAGATCCCATCTCATTAAACAATACATCCAACAAACAAAAGACAAGTAAATGTCCAGAGCGTATGCTGGATCATTTGACGATGAAGAATGTTCGAATCTGAAATTTCAGTAATCAATAAGAAATGTGACTATTAGCACCTTTTACAGTAAGCTATATTTATCTTCAAAATATCTTGTAGGTCTTTTACATCCTTCAGAAGAAAAGCCCTCCAAACTCCTTTTCCCTTCTACCATTTTCTACCACTTAGCAAAAGAGGCCATAGGATGTCTCTTCCTTAAATACATGGTGTGGACTTTGGGGTCTCTATGTCAAAGAGAAATAATAACCAGGTAAAGCAGAGGTTGTTAAAGAGGAAATCAAGTGCTTTTGAGTTATGGGTAATGTCACTTAATAATAAAGCATGTTCCTGAATCAACTTCACAAATATACGAAAATGTAATTTTCAAAGTTAACCAAAATTCATTCATTTATACTGATACTATTGATCAACCACCATTATTCAATTCCTCGTCAAAATCATTGGGACGTTTCACACTTGCAACAATTAACAAACCCAAACAACCAATCTGCAATAATGATTTCTCATACCAGTCAGGTTTTAACCCAATTATACTGTCACTCATTATCTGAAGGGTTCTAATTCCTAGATGAACTTATCATGGAATTAAACTGAGAATCAATTACAGGAACTACCCAGCTTTGCTTTCTCTTAATGTTATAACTGGAAGAGCTGTATTAATTGATTCATGCCAATCTCACCTAAACCTTCAAAAAGGCCCTAAAAAGCCCCTAGCCATCTCATTTTGGATCAATGCCCACAGTTCTATGATAAACCTGTTAGTTAGCTTAAGCATAAGAGTTAAGGTAAGTGGAAAAATTAAAAGAAAGATTACTTCTTGATATCACCACTTAGTCCTAACTACAGTCTACAAAACAGGAAGAGGGGGGAATCCGAAGCATAGTAATATCAATAGTACGGATGATTTAACTTTGGGTCTTCGGCTCAAGAACAAGATGGAGTTACAAGATAATCACTCTGCCTCACCTTGAGTTTCCTCAACTGCTAACCAGGGGCAGGGCCAGGGTGACTGAAGGGGGTTTACCCTTCGTTGTATATGTAAGCTTAAAATTATTTTTTATGAATATTCCCTTTATCTTCTTCTTTATATTTTGAATCCAGCCACTGCTGCTAACCTTATATTTTATGACCTTAAAACCATCAAAATAACAAACCTTTTTACAAGGGTCATTTTGGATTGAAACTAGCTTAACAAGAAAATAGCTAGGCAGGCTACCATAATCATGTATTTGCTTCTGAAATTTGAAGCTTCACCCAAGAGAAAACATTAAGGACCAGCTGCAGCAATAAAGAACTGAAACAGAATTTTCTTTTTTCTGAAAGGTAAAAGTTTGTTTTTTCAATAGTATTGTGATGTAAACAAGTAATATTCTCCAACATAAGCGACTTTTTACGATTTATCGAACAAAATACATAATGATTTCAACATAAAAGAAATACTCCATAACCAATGAATGTAGAGGTAGGAGCTAAAAGAAGAGAGAAGAAAGAGAGGGACAAGTACTTACGGAGTCTGTATCTGTAGCAATAAGAGAGTTGGGATTCTTGGGGAGTGAATTAAATTGGAGGACACCAACCAAAACAGACCCTGTAGATCGTACAAGCCTGTTAACGTCGCCACGTTGAGTTTCTCATATTATGATGCTATGCTAAAAAGTAAAAAGGACGTTCCAAGGAGAGTGAATTTAATTCACTCTCCTCCTACGCGGCTTGATAAGCAGTAAATATTTTTTACAAGTGTTTACAACAAATTACAACATATACATTTACATTTATTTATTTATTTGGTATAAATACTTAATATGGTTAACCCTTCCTAAATGTCATTTTCCTTTGACAAAGTAATAAAAAGTTACCTCAAATTATAATTTATGTTTTCTCAATTTGTGGGCTACCTGCGACACTTTTGCTTCCTAATTTTCAAACTTTAGAAAACTAGTCTCATGAAACTATGATATAGTTCAGACCAGCAAAATCAACGTATTGAATATGCAATGTGAATATGAACATTAATTTTTAGATGTTAAAATAATATTCCCTCCGGTCCATAATAAGTGATTAATTTGCTTTGAACACACCCATTGAAATACTAAATTCTAGACAAAAACAGTTAGTGTGACTAAAATATCCTTAATTAAATATTGCAGCATAATTTAATGTGAGGAGTTAAAATTTTTTTAAAGATAAGTACATAAGGGTAATTTTAAAAAAATAAATTAAAATTTTTTTTGATTATATAAATAAAAACTTATTTTTAAAAAAATAAAAAAATAAATTGATCATTTATCGTGGATCTGAGAAATATTTACGTATATCAATGATCGGTTAAAATGCGTACTCTACGTTTTTCTGAACAGAGTTAGTTTAATCGAATTTGCTTCTCTATGGAACTAATGGGCCCAATATCTAGAAGAACGTTTAACACGCGGCATAGAAATTCTCAACAAACCACGTGGTCATGTACGGTTCGATCCGACCTAGTCGGAGGGTCCACAGTTGCCGACCCCCACGGTTTCTGACAGACGTAAAGCGTTTTGTAATTTTTGTTTTTTCCCCGAGGGTAGGCTGGCTCGTGTACATGGAGTGGTGAAAGATTGTATTGTTCATTTACTGCAATTCCAAAGGATTTTGGCTTTTGCTCTTTGTGGTGAACTTTAATCTAGAAACTAAAATCCAATATTTCATAAGGAGAGCCAAAGAAATTGAGGAGCGAGATATTAAGTACTAGTATTTAAATCTCCAATGACAAATATTTATTCCTTCGGGAATAAAATGACAATGATTAAGAGAAATGGACATGATCATCCTATAGTGAAGGATTGGGTTATGGGAGTATCTTCCACGCCTTTAACATCACTAAATTCAGTGTCCGGTGTAGCAGTAAATGCCTAGCAATCAACAGCCGTTAGTGCCCATAATGGCAGAAGGATACTCCTCCGAGATAATGACATACCAAAATTTAATAAATACGTATTAGTGCCAAACTGAACCTAGTGACAAAGAAGAAGCTTTAAAAGACTTGTCACGTTGATTTCACATTCCAGAACAGCTTCGGAAATAACTCTAAAATTGACCTGCCGATTTTCTAATACCTAATCAACAAAGCCAATTCATAGTAATCCACGTCGAAATAAGTAGGGTATCCCTAGGCATCAGTTCAACAATTTTGGACTGGACTAAAATACAAACTAAGAAGCTTCCATTAGAGCAAAAGCGCCACGACCAAAGAATATACAAACATGAACAGCAAGCTAGACAATAAAATTGATCATCTTTCCTGTAAACAAGTTTATGAATTCCTCCATCAAAGTGATCCCAACATTTGAGCATATTCACGAGAGAGAACTTTACATCAATGTGTGATTAGGTGGATATTATGATGTTCTGGGTAAAACTTGACCCAGGCTCCGTTTCCATAGTCTATTTGTTTTGTTTCATGGTACAAGCCCAACCCTTAGAAATAGGACCCAAAGAAATAATTAAACAGAAGGAAGAAGGTGAAAACTTTCAAGTAGCAGCCACGTGAAAGCATAATGAGCTAAACATGGTACAGAGTAATTAAATTATAACAGAATGATAAACAACACCAGTGCTCCTAGCTCTGCCAATCTTTTCTCATTATCCTTTTAGGATTACCCATAAACAATGAATTGAAAATCATTTCAAGTATTTGAGCACCTAGTAAAATCATGCATGTTTTGTCAGGAAGAATATAATTTATTACTTTCAGGAATCTACAGAACTTTCTAACCATATCTTCTGGTGCACATCGGAAGAGGGGAAACCAACCCTCTCATTTTCCTCTTTGAAACACATGGCTGTGCCTTTGAAATTCCATGCAATTTTTTTTCATTCCTTTTCTGAGAAACAACTTGTATTGACCAAAACATTAATACTGAGACTAACAAATGCTTACGCCGGATTTCTTGTTCTAATTTCCATGGCGGAGCAACCAACTTCACCTCCTTTGCATCTTGTATACGATAAGACAATGTGGACCACATGTTATCATTCTCTGGCCTGATGGGGTGAGACAGGAATTAGTGATTGCGTCCATAATCTGACAATCATTAAAGGAAATCTTTTCAATAGAATAATCATACTCACTGAAGCCACGAAAATATCATAGTCAAGAGGTACATATGATCATAGTTATCCTTCCAGACTTTCACATATCCGTAGTTCATAGAAGACCAAACCGGTAATTATCATCATTGGCAGACCAAGGCTTTTCCGCAGTGCAAATAGAAAATTGTTATCATTACCTCTAAATGGTAGAAAATTGATGTATTCTCTTTAGGCGACAATTCACCATGTCGATGAGACTTTGAGGAACTTGGTGCAAACAAAGAAGTTTCGCTAAGGGTATTTCACCAATGCACAATCTTTCCAGGTTTCATAGAGATTTCAAAACCTCCCCCAAAACTAGTCCCCACTGCGTCCAATGAGTGCCACCCTGCAATTAGAAATTCAAGTGACAATAAAATTAAGTCTTCCCCAGAATTCATTGAAAAGACGAATTCCCTCTTTCCCACATGATAAGCTACATAAGCAAACATATAACTAATTACTCCTATAGCAAACTAATTAATGGTGGAAGAAATGGCAGAGTATTACCTGACAAAACACAGAGAAAGGCTCTCTTAGCGGCCCATCACATGAGAGCTCGCTAGTACTTCCATCGATGAAGGTTCCATCAGCAAAAATTACCTACTCCATGAATAACATTTCAAAAATAGGCTGAAGATGAATTGCTCAAGTATATAAACTCTGCTAAACAACCCATTGCATGTGCTTCATATATCGATTAGACTATAAGCATCCAAATGAAGCACAGGGAAGAAGAAAAAAAGAGAAAGCAACCTGGTAAATAAGGTAGATAGACCAAGACAATCAAGTAGTCACACCAAAACACAATAAGGAAAGATCATATAAGCAACAGTTCGCGCCACATAATTGAAGACATCAACCGAGACCCAAAATTAAACAGACTATCCAAGCTCAAAAGTTAGGATAGAGATGAGCTTGCTTAAGATTCATTGTCACATCTCTCTGATCTTTCATGATCCCCACGAACCCAAGCAGATAAAAGTAAGACAAAATTGTTTCCTGCTACAAAAAGTACGTATGTGCTCATATTAGATTCCTACCACAACTAATTCTATGTGAGCTTTCAGCCATGATGGTTACATACTGGTTCCTGTGTCATAACATTAGTAATTACCATGTTCAATAATTTTATTTCCAGTACAGTGTTAATACTAAGTCGAAGAGTTTCCTTCAAGTACAGCATACCGTCATTCCCAAAGAACTGGTCATACCTCAGATGCATAGCCAGCAGTCGCACCTGCAACAGGCCTGATAAAAGAACTGACAGGAGAACTTCTCTGAACAGCCTCGCAAAAGGAAAGTAGACGCTCACGGCTTCCAAGTTGTACTGCCTGAGAAGCATAATAAAACTTAGTCCACTTTCACGTTTACGAATGAAATCCAGCAGTGCCTTAAAATATGGGCACACGTCTGAGAGCACCAAAATGTACTTGACAATATAGAAGAAACATGAAGATTGTTCTAATTTCTCAGTGAAAGGAAGTGCGATTGAATGGTGGGAGTAAATTGTATATCCTCATGTGCAAACAGAGGGTATTAATCGGCAGTTAGGAATACAAGGACTTGTATATGACTTGACTAATGCAAGATGTAACAGACAAACCTGCACTGTATCATGACGCTTGACCCGACAAAGTGGCTGCACTTTATATCCTCTAGCTGCCATGACTTCAGCTATCAGAAAGCTTCCCTTGCAACAGGAGTTTGCAAGATGCATATATCAAGGCGAGGTAGAAGAAAAGATTATGACTATATTGGAACTTGAGCAGAAATGAGATACCTTTATTGCTTCACCAACCATTTGAGGTGAGAGGTATAAACCCTGAAAGAAGGTTCTCATTATATCACCAGGGGTCGAGCCACAATCAACTCCAAGTCCTGGAGCCGAGAGACGGGCAGCTGCTGCTTCCACCCATCTTTTTCTTCCTGCAACATATCCACCGCATGGTGCAATCGTCCCACCAGGATTTTTTATTAAACTGCCCGCAATTAGGTCAGCACCCTGCTCAGTCAAAATCAACTTCTGACATTTCTAACATGCAATAGAACTTTAAGGATAAGAATAGTTTTATATACCACCATAGGAGGTTCGATGTCATCAGCAAATTCACCATAGCAGTTATCTACCATGACCAGGCATCTTGGGTTCTGCATCTGCATCAAAGAAAATAGATTGAAGGTAGAACTATTTTTACTAATAGCAAATGTAAAGGCACACACAAACACTGATAAGTGAAAAAGAAAAATTTATAACTAACTATGCCAGCACTACGAACACAAACCATCAAGCATCAGGCAAAGATCAATTATAAGGACAGAGCATCTTATGCCTGAGAAAGAGTATACTATGACTAACTGTAATTCTCCAGCATCCTCCTTTTCGTTTCCCGATATTTGCGAGTTGTTTTAGAATAACATTACCATCAGTGCCATGATGTCGAGAGATTTACCTTGATTATAGTGATGGCCTGACCTATCTCAGTTACACTCAAACTGCGACGCCAGGAATAACCACATGATCTCTGTATGAGTGCACACCTCGTATGAGGTCTTAAAGATGTTTTAAGTGCATCCCAGTCAAGCCCGCCATCCTCTGCAAGCTGCAAAACGTCCAAACAAAGTTGGAAATTCTAAAATTCGGAAAAGTTAAAACCATGTGGAGCTAATATCGAACATATAGATGAAACTTACGGGGACTTCCCGGTATTCTACTCCAAAGTCTTTTAAGGAACCCAATCCACCAGAATCCCTTTTTCCAATAACTTCCTCCAGAGTATCATAAGGTGCACCAGCCACCGCCAACAGCTGAAGCAAGTTGATTTCAAGTCATTTTCATAAAAAGACTTGACAACATTTGATACATTAACCAGTATTCTGGACTACAATAATTCATGAAACAGAACATTGCGGTGATCATAAGAATAAAATAAGTGTACCTCGTCCCCTGGTCTTAAGAAAGCGAATAATGCACAAGTGATAGCATGAGTACCTGAGAAGAACTGAAGGTGAAGTGGGAAAGTATATTAAGAAAACACATCCTTTTCATGGAAATGAAAGTGAAAAAAAGAAGAAGATAAATTTGCGAACCTGTGCTCGTACAATTGCAGACTCAGCACCAAAAATTTCTGCAAAAGCCTCGTCCAAGGCTTCACGTCCACCAGCTTCTTCATGACCATAGCCCGTGCTACCACCAAAGTGCTGATGCAGGTACATTTTTAGTACTGACAAAATAGAGTGCCTACTAAATGTTATTTCACTAGTGGAGACCATTCTCTCTTTACCTGTGTTCAGTAAAAGTGTTATGTGTTCCACTGAGCACTTAGAAAAAAGAAATGCATTCCACATGAACTCAAGTTCTAGACATCTGGGCAGTGTAAATAATACTTATAATGTAGTTCAGCATACTTTTGAAAATAAAGGCGATGTATACTCCGTGTAAATGGTGTTTACAGGCTATTCACTCTGTCAATTTATGTGATGCACTTTCTTTTTTTTGTTAACTTCTCATTTATTATAAGATAATGTATAGCCACACAAATATGTATGACTTATTTTTATACCATAAGTTTCAAAACCCTTTTTTATCTTTCTTCAAAATGATCACATCAAATGGGACGGAGGGAGTACAATTTAGGAAATTTTCGAAAATTAGAACTTACATGAGACCCAACCCTGACCCTTTGGAAAGCTCTCAAAACTCGGGCAGTATTGCGAGCCACTAAATTGTCAACTTCTCTGAACTCTTTTGACAAAGAATCAATTGCCTTGTTAACCTACATATCCGCAGAAAAACCAAAAGTAATCATGTTCCATTGATTTCTCAAAGTCACACAATATTAAACATCAAATTTAATTACTATTATTCTTCTCGGAGAAATCAAGGGAGCATTTGGGGCGTTACATTCTACCTCAGGAACAAAGGGAGAATTGGAAAGATGAAGCTGAGGAACTGAGACTCGAGAGCTCGAACACACTGCAACTTTAGCGGATGTTATAATAGGACAAGCAGAGATGGCATTGCATAAGACCGCCATTTTCGCTCTGCAGGGAAGGAAATGGATGTGGAGAGAGAGTGATGGAGTGAAACTAATCCAAATAGGACTTGGCTTATTGGGCTTATCCAAATAGGAATAGGCTTGTTGGGCTTATCCAAATAGGACTAGGATTATTGGGCTTATCCAAATATATGTATAATCCACGCATAACATATGTTATCTATACTGTCTAGAAAAATAAATAATAAATTCAGATGATTATTTGTGTAAAGATCTAATTTTTATTTTCAATAGTTATAGCTCAATCTATTGATAAATTTTGCAAAGGTAAGAAATTAATCATCATACTTTAGAGATATATTATTCTTTACATATGATTACACGAATATTAGAAAATAAAAATTAGCACTTTAAAAGATTTTGGGGATGCAAAGTTCTATATGAAGTGGGCCTAATGAAGTGGTTTTATCATTCGTAACCCAATTAAATGGGATAGCCCAATAATATTTGACCTTTATTTAAATCAATTTAATTAGATTTAAATAACTAAGTCAATATATATTAGCCCATAATATTTATTTGGACTAGTATATATAAAATATAATCCAAATTATTTATTTAATTTGAATCGAATAAATTTTACATATCTATAAATGCCCCCTATTTCAAGACTTGTCAGAGTGTCAATATAATGACTAGGCTTGAAGTATCAACAAGGGAAGACTTTGCGCCTTTCTTCTTGCAAACAATTTCATGGATTTATTTATCCATGCCTCCTTCAAATTATATTTTAAGAGATTTTACTTTTATTTAATTGAAAATTTTCATTTTGTCAGAAGTTGGACCATGATTTTTACTTGGTGTTGCCTTTAAAACAACACTTTAAATCAATAAATACTCCTTTGCACATTGACGTGCTCTCTTCTGTGAAGACTTTGCATATTAAATTTAGATGTTAACAAAGATAAAGATCATTTCAATGAAGGGCATGACACGCTAGATTATTGGATGCCCACTTTCACAAATCAAAATTATTCAGGATCGATTTCGCACAGCTCAGTCAAGTTCGTGATATTGCATTCATAGTTGGAGAAAGAGTATTGCTCCAGGGTTCATCCATGAAAGGTGTAATGAGGTTCGGAAAGAAGGGCAAGTTGAGCCCTAGGTATATAGGACCCTTCGAAATACTTGAAAGGGTGGGCGAAGTAGCCATTACCACCTAGTTTATCAGCGGTTCATCTGGTGTTCCATGTGTCTATACTCCAGAAATATCATGGTGATCCGTCCCATGTGTTAGATTTCAGCTCAGTCCAATTGGACAAAGATTTGACTTATGAAGAGGAGCCGGTAGTTATTCTAGCTCGGCAGGTCCGACAGTTGAGGTCTAAGAGTTATCTTTCAGTTCGGGTGCAATGGAGGGGTCAGCCGGTAGAATCAGCTACCTAGGAGTCCGAGTCGGATATGCAGAGTAAATATCCATACCTTTTTACCAACTCAGGTACTTTTCTAATTCTGTTCGAGGACGAACGCTTGTTTTAGAGGTGGAGAATGTGATGACCCAAAATGTCATCTTTAAATTTAATAATTAATTATATGTTCTAAGATCTCAAAAGTACTATTAATCATTCCTCGACTTACGTGCGCAGTCCGTATAATTTTTCGAAAAAATTTTATGTGAAAAATTAATTAAAATGTGAAATATAGCCTTAAAACTCAATTAAGTTGACTTTAGTCAACATTTGTAGCAAACGAACTCGGATCAATATTTTGATAGTTCCGATAGGTCCGTCTCGTGATTTGGGACTTGGGCGTATGCCCGAAATTTAATTTGGAGGTCCTTAGCTCAAGTTATGGCCATTTAACGGAAACTAGAAATTTAAAGGCTAAAGATTTCCAAAGTGTGACCGCGGATTTGACTTTTGAATATCAGGGTCGGAATCTGATTCTGAAAATTGAAATAGCTTCGTTATGCCATTTATGACTTGTGTGCCAAATTTGAAGTCATTCCGGATTCATTTAACATGTTTTGGCACAAGATTTGTAAATTGAAAAGTTTGAAACTCAAAAGTTCGAATCGAGGTGTGAATTGTAATTTTAGCGTTGTTTGATGTGATTTGAGGTCTCGACTAAGTTCGTATGATATTTTATAACTTGTTGGTATATTTGGTTGAGGTCCCCATAGCCTCGGGTGGATTCTGGATAGTTAACGGATCCAAAAAAAATACGGAGTTAAGGAAAAATCTGAAATTTTGGCCTTATGGTGTAATCGCACCTGCAGATTTTAGACCGCAAATGCGAAAACCGCAGATGTGGTCAAGTTTCTGCATAATCGGAAACCACAAATGAGGTCAAATTTTCGCAGAAGCGGAAATGCTGGACAGAACACATAAAAATCGGGAGATAACCATTTTTACTCATTTTTTAGATTTGAGTCTCGGATTTAGGCGATTCCAAAGCGATTTTCACGACTTTGAATTGGGTAAGTGTTCTATAACCAAAAGTGATTATATTTCATAAATCCATGTCTATATTCATCATTTATTTCGGATTTAGATGGAAGAAATTAGAATTTTTGTAAAACTTTCCAAAAATAAAAATTTAAGATTTGAAGGTCCATTTGACATCGAAATTTGATAATATTTATATGGTTGGACTCGTATAGGAATGAGAGTTAGGATTTCGTAAGTTTTTTCGAGATTCGAAATGTGGGCCCCATTGTCGAGTTTTTAGATGAATTCCAGATTTTAATCCGAAAAATTAGAAAATTCATATGAAATTAATTCCTACGATTTGTATTGAGTATATTAAATTGTTTATGACTAGATTTGAGGATTTCATATACGAATTCGCGAGGCAAAGGTTTATTGGATTCTTGAACTTGGTTGCAAAGCGAAGTAAGTGTCGTGGTTAACCTTGACTTGGGGGAATATGTAACGACCTGACAGGTCGTTTTAAGTATCACAACCCCATTCCCCCATTTGCTGCTCAATTTATACCTCACAGTTGATTTATGACTTATCGGGTTAGTTGGTTTGGGTTCGGAAGGATTTCATAGTGAAATGAGACACTTAGTCTCATAATTAAAAACTTAAGTTGGAAAAGTTGACCGGATATTCACTTATGTGTAAACGACCTCAGAATTTAATTTTGATAATTCCAATAGCTCCGTATGGTAATTTTGGACTTAGGAGCGTATCCGAAAAATTATTTGGAGGTCCGTATTGGAATTATGCTTGAAATGCCGAAAGTTGAATTTTTGGGAAGTTTGACCGGGGGGTTGACTTTTTGATATCGAGGTTGGAATTCGATTATGGAAATTGGAATAGCTTCATTATGTCATTTATGACTTGTGTGCAAAATTTGAGGTTAATCGGACTTGATTCGATAGGTTTCGACATCGAATGTAGAAGTTGGAAATTTCATAAGACTAAAGTTTCAATTGAGTTCACACAAGACCTAACTTCAAATGAATATAACTCTTATGATACAAAGTGTTATATGGTGTATTACCTATCAAATGAAAGATCTTTGAGTCTAGTTTCTAACGCTTCAAACCGTTCGTCATTTGGACATTCCTACAAGAAGTTATAACTAAATTACCAAAGGCTGAAAAAATGCAATTCTGCGACCAATTATGCGATTGCAAAACAGTTATGCAATCACAAAACTGCTTCTGCGACCGCAAAACTGGTCGCATAATGGACCAGAAGAGCCCAATTTTGGGCACTGATTTTGCGATCAATTTTGCGGCCCGCATACCCATTATGCGGTCCATTATGCGACCGCAAACCTGCTTTCGGAGGGTTAATTTTTCTATTTTCATAACCCGACCCCATTTTGATAAATAGGCTTTGGGGCTTATTTTGGGGCAATTATATGATGATTTTAGAGAGAAGTGAGAGTGTTCTAGAGAGAGGAAGTAGATGAAGTGTCTTGTTCATCAAATTCTTGTCCAAGGCTTGAAATCCAACAAGAAATCCCTCAAGTTCTTCATCAAACAGGTAAGGTTCTAACCCGTAATCTTCAATTTCGAGTTTGGGTGATGATATGTGATTAAGAGTATGATTCTTGGGTGTAATGGTATTATTTATACATATCAATAAGGTTTATGGAAAGAGTGTTGAGTTCAAATGGGTAAAGATTGGGTTGAAAATGGTAGAAATCTTCAAAGACTTCAATTGAAGATTTGAGGGTCGAGTTGATGTCGGAATTTGGTGAAATTTATATGGTTGGACTCATGATTGGATGAGCATAAATATTTTGTAACTTTTGTCGGGTTCCAATACGTGGGCTCCACAGGCAATTTTTGAGTGTAATTTCGGATTTTTGGAAAAATATTAGTATTTTGATATGGAATTAATTCCTATAATTTTTGTGGGCTGAATCAAATTAATTGTGACTAGATTTGAGCCGTTTGAAAGTTGATACACGTAGAATGGAATTTTTAGAGCATTGCTTAGCTTGCTCGACATTGGATTTGGCTTGTTCGAGGTAAGTAACTCTTCTAATCTTGGAGTTGAGGGTATGAACCTTGAATATATGTATTTCGTGAATTATTGGGAGGTGACGCACATGCTAGGTGATGGGCGTATGGGCGTGCACTATAGAAATTGTGACATAATTGTTTCTGTGAAATTTTGTAGTTAAATAATCTTGGCATTTTCTATGCGATTTTATGAGTTAAAAAAATTGAGCTGAAAAGCATATTAAAAATCATGTTGAGGCTATATGCCAGTATTATTGGGACCCACAGATGTCATATTGCTGTAAATTATTGGTTATGTTGAAAATTCATACTCAGTCATATTCATTTCATTACATATCATATCTCAGTCTCTGTTATTATTTATTGATACATCATATCATTATTTTTGGGCTATTCTCATGACATTGTGAGCCCATGAGAGAGAGACTGGATAGATTGATGACCGAGGGAGGCCGAGGGCCTGATTGTGAGGATATTTTTAGGATCGGGCTGCACGCCGCAACAGGCCATGTTGGCTTTATATATATTATTATTATTATATGGATCAGGGCTGCCCGCCTGTAGCAAGCCTTATTGGCTTATTATTGCACG